TTAAATGATTATCAGTTGAAGTTAAGCTTACATTTCCGGTGTTGAAGACACTCAGCTTGCTTGCCTCGGTGGCATTTCATCGGTGCGTAGTAAACTTAGTAATCATAAATGACTGTTAACATGCTCTATAAACGTTACTATTCCTCTCTAGTGGTATCCAGTTATCACATAGTTTTTTCACATACTGAGTATATTAAAGCTTGAAAGTTTGAAAGTTTACCTTGTAAATAAGCAGAGATCAAACATGTCAAAGCGGATTATGTAAACTGATGGCGTGACAAACAACAGTTTGCGCGGAGCCGGACGTGACGTCGTTTGGTACAGTACGATTTTYATTGCCTGAACATCTTGTGATTTGGCATAGTATAATTAAGAGAACCACTCATTATCAAGACTTYGGTATGTGCTTTCAATGATATTGTTCTTTACGACAAAAAGACCCCGATTTGAATAAGGCTGCGTTCATAATGTATGGCAGAGAGGGGGGTGGGTTGGGGGTGGCAGGTGAAATCTTTAAATGACAAAAAAATTCTTAAGACCCCTCCTTGAAGTCTCCCCAAAAATAACTATCCCCCCATCCCCCCCGGCAATCTCTCGTAGCATCTTCTAAAAATTTTGCATTCACCCCCAAATTCTCAGAAAAAAATTTTTAACCCCCCCTCCCCCTCCCCGTTTTACCGGTAAATTTTTTTCCGATCCCCCTAAATTTCACCTGTCCCCTCTGCCATATATTATGAACGCAGCCTAATGTCTCATGGAATTCGGACATCAAAGAACTAGTTTATATAATGTTACGTGTTTGTAATCACTTGATAAATAGTACAGTTATGGACAACAGCTGCAATTCTTTACGAATTGAACAAGTTTCTTGACATAAGGTTCCTTCAGTTTCTTTGTGATATCAGACGTTGGAATGTCAAAATGCTCACACATCTTTCGCAACATAGCAATAGAAAAGATGGTCAACTTTGATTTGTTAACCAGTTCGCACAAATTATTGTTGTCGTAACAAATGGGGTGCTTTGGTACGACCTCTGCAATAACTTCATTCCTTAATTCCTCGAACCGTTGTTCATATTCTGAGCTTTCCTCATCGCCTTCATCTTGATTGATTTCTAAAGTGCGCTTGGAAGAAAGGTGAGAAAAGAAGCTCGAAGTTTGCTGACTTGTGAGGAATTCGTCGCTCGAGAACAAACGTTCCCCATCGTTATCTCTTGCAGTCATCATGGACTTGGAAACTGAAGCTGCGCTAAACTTGTTTCCTGTGGCCTCTCCAATAGAAAAMTTACTAATCAAGTACTKTTTTTGGTTTTCATTAAATCGCTTTCGTTTAGTGGTACTTGATTTGAGGGCCCAGCCCATAGGCAAAGTTGGTTGGTTTGGTCCTGTCACCGCACTACTCTGCTGAATCTGTACTCTGGTAAACTGCTCTTCTAATCTGACAGCGTAGCCATGTACTGCTTTATCAAACAAGGTTTCACGTTCTAGAGTCCTTTCGTGCTTTTCACTTTCAGGGTGGTGTTGCAGTGCAGAAAAACGCTGGTATGTTCTAGTGCAACCTTCCTCTGGACAGGCAAATAGTTGTACCGAGTCGTCTGAGATGGATTCCTCGACATCCGTGCTGATGGAAGTGGTGACATTGGCACATGTTGTTGGCGGCTTTGAAGTACTCGCCTTGGCTGTTGATTGCACGCGTACACTCAAAAACTTATCAGTGAGCATTTCATCTTCACTAGTAAGTACGGATGGTAGCTGAGCATCTTTGGCGAAGTTGAGRCTAGAAAGCATAATCTTTTTACCTGCTCCAATACCATAAGCTTTCCAGACACGCAGGAAGGTCTTACCATATTCAATATTGGAAATGGAGCTTACACCGTCCAGTTTAACTCGAATTTGATTATTTACGRTAACCAAGGATTCACATAAAGTAGCTGTGAGCCCATGGACACCCAGCGATGATCTCATGGCGTTCACCATTTGATGTGCTGTTTCGATGTCATTTCCCTGGTTTAGGTGCACATTCATGTGAGATTTAATGTTGGCTGCTTTTCGATCGCACGCACYTTTCCCGCCCTGCGGSTCTGAAAAGTCCATGCGTTTGATCATTATGCCGTGTAGTTTGTTCAGAAGAGATACTCCAACGATGGTTGGTCCACTCCTATAACATCCAGCGTTATCCTGACTGTAGATGATCTTTTTTAGGTTAGGCATTATCCCCTTCAGCTTTGCTACCACATCTGACATGATTGCAAGTACAGAATAACTGTCTTGGTTACATGATTGGAAGACGTGTGTGAAGGTCATCATTTCTAATTGGTCAGGATTGTACCGCGCTCGACGAGTGGCCACGGTGATGTGCCATGACAGTCCTCTCTTCCCATACCAATCCCTTTGACTCTCTCTGTACTTTCGTGGGATGAATTTCATGGCCCAGTCTTCCACCAACAAAACTGTAGTACTATCTATAGCTTCAAGGGCGTCAAGTCGTGCTTGGCTTGCTTCACAGTGAATTCCAGCTGTTCTCTTGTATCGTCTGGAACTTTGTTGTYAGACATCTTGGCCACTGCCGCGTCTATTTCTTTTAAAACTAGGGACAGCATCTCGCAGCGGTCACAGGAATCGAAGTGGTCATGGTCGCATTTTGTTTTGAAATCTTCATCCMCAGGATCACTCAGTGCGTACTTCCTACAATGGTCTGCGACAGTTGATTCTTTGGACACGTGTACCTTGTATACAAATAGAAAATCATCAATCATACAATAGATGGATGGTTGGATGAATGAACGGACGGATGGACGAACGGACGAAGGAATGAACGGACRAATGAATGAATGAACGAACGATGAAGGAACAAGCAAACGAAAACGAACAAACGAACGAATGGATGGACGGGAATAAAAGAATTTATAAATGAATGACTGAATAAATGAACGAAGAAATTAATTTACGAATAACTAAACAGCTAATTAACCAAACAATAATAACACCAACGTTAAAAAACACATACATCGTTAATTCTCTCTCTTTTTTTTTTTTGAGTGTAACCGTTACCTTAAAGTCGCTTTTTAAGTAGCGTTTGGCAGCTTTTAACCGATCTTTCTGTTCTTTAGCCCATGCCATTCCCATAAATTCGTCTCCGAGTTGTTCCACTACGTCATATAGATCATCGAATGATTGTGCTCCTGCTGAACTGATGTAGTCGAGGCCTTSCAACGATTTTCGTACAGAGGCTGAACAAACGGATAAGATTCGAAGCAATGTACTTCGGCTAAGTGGCTTGAAGTTATTCTCCTCTGCATAGGTTTGGTACTGTTTTGCGATTGATTCTGGGATTAGCATTCGTATGACATTTGRCACATTCACAACTTCTTTGTTTGAAAGTTCGATAGATTTCTGTCCAAAAGGCATATCCTGGATTACGTATGGACTGGTAATAAAATCCAGGAAATGATCCAGTTGAGTTTGAGAAACAAACATTTTTGTCTGCATTGTCTTGGGAAGGGGAACTCCTCTGCCGTGAATCAATGCATGTTTCCGTGCCACAGTAAAGCGATATCTGGTAAGATCCGGAATCCACTTATTTAGGGTCGAGAACGTTACCTTGTCAGACATTATGGATAGTATTTGGCGTCTAGTATCCCATGAGCTGGCATTGTTATAGCACTCTGTTAAAGCATCTATCAGAACTTCATCAATCGTGTCGTCTCCCCGCTTGTCTGATGATATTGACTTAACGACGGACTGCCACAAATCCTCTGACTGTGTTKGTGCAACTTCCTCGAGGACAGCCTGTACTGCCTGTTTTGGCTTTACGAGTGTGTCGGCGTCTTGTTCTCTCACTTGCCTCTTCCCAAGGTACCTTCACAGTATGTCTGATCGGACTGACATCTTTACTGTGAAGGAATTCGTTCAGCTTTTCTAGTGGAGTTACATTAGTGTCAAGTCTGCTCAGATGGGATGTGATGGTGGTGGATATTGCTGTATTTGACGGAGAATATAGGCTTCCTTCTGGTGTCTCCAAAGAAGGGACAGAAAAGTCAAAGGCATTGCCAGGTGTACTTTGGGCTACAGGAAGAGCTGTATCGTCATCCTATCATACAACCAAGTCATTGATTTAAAATTTATTGAATAATTAATGTGTGCAGCGTTTAAAGCTGCTTTGTAATTTGGGCATTGCATGTAAAGAATTTTAGCCTTAGAAATTTATGCGCATTGTTGATTAAACCAAACACTATATTTCTTCTTAGTCGCAAAATGGGTTACTATCAATAGTCGTCACATCCGGCAATAGCTGCAGTTTGAATCGTAG